AAAATGGATATAAAAATAACATGAATCGATACTCTTGTGGACATGTCGATGCATCAGATCGTCATCTGTTGGATCGATACAAAACTATTATTATTTACACTCCTATTGTGGAGGTTTCTTCGTGTTAATGAGAATTTTTTTCTCCACTGTCTCTCCATTTATGCATAGTATAGGGAGTTGCCTCAGTGACTTCATTGAATTGACAGTTTTTCCTTTGAAGCATTTTTTTTCGTTATACATTTGAATAAAAAATCTTAAAAAAAAAATATGAAATGTAATGAATAAATACTCTGGCTTGCCCCATATAGTCCAAAACCATGGTATCTCTACTTCTTAGGTTCAAATGTGTCTGTGTTACTATTTAATGCTGTAAAAGACTTGGGATGGATGGATGGATGGATGGATGGATGGATGGATGGATGGATGGATGGATGGATGGATGGATGGATGGATGGATGGATGGATGGACGGGATGGATGAAACGATGGATGGACGGAAAGATGGTTTTAAAATGTAAAGATTCAGATTGATTGAATCCATGCATATGATCGAACAGCTCTGACTTGTCAAAAGTTGTTTTTCTTAAAGTTTTTTTTCTAACTGTTTTGAAACTACGCTGGTTGTAAATTGACTCTTACTAAATAAATTGAGTTGAACACCTACAACATGTTGTGAAGGGTGACTTTGGCAGGAACAGGGGAAGTGGTCAGTTTCTGAGAGGTAAGGCGTAACTAACTAACAATACCTGTGAAATCCTGCAAAACACTTTGAGAGGAACTGAAAATGCTTGTGAAGCAATTATGTCCTCAAAGACAATCAGAAAATATTGTTGTTGTTAAATTTGCAAAATAAGAAAAGTACTAACCTAAGTTTAAATGTAAATCACTCAAAATCTCCTCCAGTGTATTGTAGCATTTTTTTTCTTTCTAGACTTAATAGGAGATGGCAACCAGCACCTTGCAATACCTTACCGCCACTGACCAGTAAGGAGTGTTGGTCGAAATGACTTGATAAATATATAAGGAGAAGAAAAATAAATATGTAAACTTACTATATTCTTTAAAGTAATAAAATGTACTTTAAAGCTACAGTGTGTAACTTTTATCGACATCTAGCGGTCAGACTGCAGACTGCAGCAACATGAACATCTCCCCCCCACCGCTTCTCCCCCCCAACAGTACGGCGAGTGTTACGGGACAAAATGTCTTCCACGACGTCCGCATCACCTACCTTCTCAAGTGATGAGGTTTGTTTACATAGATGATTTTACAGATAGTATTTCATTAGTCTGTGTAAGGTATAGATTTCATGTAGACTTAAGATAATAAATATATCCGTTATTTTTTTTACATCGTTGTGACATTTTGGCGATCTTGCAATCGCTAGTTTGTTGGCTCTGCGCTGCCGTAGCGCAAAGATGTCTGCCTCCATGGCTGTGAGACCCGCTCCTATGTAATTATAAATAACAAATTCTAAGGCAACGCAAATATTAAGGTTAAGAGGCTGAGCTCGTAGATGATGATAAATAACATAGTTATGTATAATATATTACATTTCTGACTGTATATCCCTGTAATTATTACACACTGTAGCTTTAAATAATAAAAAATAATCCTATTACATACATCAACGTGATCTTTCCTTAAGAGATTTGTAAACTTATGCTGATCTTTTTCCTTTTTCAAGACTACTTATTCATCCTGTTCTTTCTAATATGTCCTACAAATAGAAATTACATGCTCTATTGTCTCACTTTTCTGTGATACAAAGGTAGATATTTTAACATAATTTTCAAAGGAATGCTTTCTAAACCTTCCAAATTTTCTGAAGAGGAGCTTAGATTTTAAAAAACCAATCCAAATCTATATTTGTCTCTCCAACAGGTTCAAAACAAGCACAATTTATTGGAAACCTGCCAAATTTGGCAACACTGAACAGAATTACTCACCTAACCCCAATCCTATGAAGCAACCACAAATTAATATGTGTATGTATGGTGATGCCCCCTTCACATCTGTCTGCACCTCTTATATGCCTTCAATTAGAAGCTTTGAGTTATTGCAACATTTAATTTTGACTTGGTATTAATATTGTATTTTTGAATTGAATTTGCCACCTAGAATGGACCCTGTTGGGATGGAGATTCACCTCACGGTCCGGAAAAATTTCTAAAAGTGACAGAAAGATATTATTTAGATGGATTTAGAGCAAATAATTTTAATGTTAGAAATACAAATTCTCTTTATTGGACTTTGCTTTTATCTATTCAACTTTCAACTGTTATCTGTCTACCTTGGATGATAAGGAATTCAGAAATGTTTTGCAACTTGTACATTGTAGAAATATTAACAATCAAAAATAATTTTATCTTTGTGACTTTGTTTGACCAGTATATCAAACTGTATTCAATTTTATTTAGCTGTATAATGTAATTCCTCGTATTTTGATTTTATATAATAAATGGAACAATCCTGTACCAAAAAATATAAATAATGATTGGCATGCATGGTTGTTGACTAATCACAGAGGAAAATGTCACTCCTGAAAATTGTCTGCCTTATTAGGCAGTAATATAAGCCGTGGACTGATGTTGTATTGAATCATCCACTACAGGTTTAACAGAGGACTGCATGGTTGTGCTTTTAACTCATCCAGGTATGGTAATTAATTTTAGGATGACAAGGGATTTTACTGACATTGATTTGTTTATTTTACAGTGATTGTTATTGTTTTTTTTTTATTTATTTTTTTATCTTGCCTCCTGTCCCGAGGTATTTTTCTCCCTATGCAATCATCCTTAGACCATAGAGTTATTTCTGTCTTACTCCCTCTGCTCCAGCTGTAATAAGAGTCACAACCACCAGATGACACTGTTACAAATCATTTTAAAAAACATGTTTTAGATAAACTGTCAGTTGACATGTCATGGCATCACAATTTTTTCAATTGACCTGTCAGAAGCTGGCCTAACTACTTTTTAGTTTAAATTATTTCCTTGGTTAAATTTTCATTACTTGCAGTAACTGTCCTTAGACTTAGACAATTTATTTGTCCCCTTCCTTGGACAACATTTTGGGAACTTCGAATTATGAATACACTTAAGTCTTAGGTTTTCTTTACATTGTGAAATTAATAGTTTAATTTGATGTTCATTTTTAGAACTTGCTGTGCCATTTTTTTATGCTTTGTCTGGTTTGCAATAATTAGTGATTTAATTATTAATGTGTCTGACACAGCCTTTTAAATCATAGCCAATGTGACTGTATACCTAATAATTTTTTTTCTCCTGCTTTGAAAGACCTTAAAATAGAAAATATGTACATATATAACTAAATTTACCTTTATTTTGCTCGTCATCCTTGCCTTGATATTGGCTGATAAGGCTTAAAAGCTGCCATATGCCTCAGGCAACGCTTCCCTATCTCTACCAATACAACTATCCGGTATTTTTGCAGATTAGCTCACAAGGAGGAATCTTACAGCTCACATCATGTCCGTAACTACCCTAATGTTAAACTTTAGGCCTATCTCTTTAAAAGCAGAACAAATTATGTGATTATAAGATAACTGCAGATTTTCTAAAGGTCTTCTTAAAATATTTTCTACTGCATAGGTACACATTTTGTTAGACCAATATAGCTTTATGTTGGAGCTATTTTATTTTATCTTATCCTGTATTGACCTTGTTTGTTCTTTCTATTATTTTTATTAGACTCTGGGGAAAGTATTCTTTTGCAGGTGCCAGGAACTGAATGTTTCTCATGTTGTATAACTCAAGGTCACAGTCTGCATGAAGAAATGCATGTGTATCACTTTATCACGCTGCAACCTACTTCCCACAAATTCCTTTAGAGTTATGGCATGATCTATTGTAACTACGGACTCCCTTATACCAATATTGAGCGAGGAATACAGCAGAGGTGCTTCAGAGAGCGGTAGGAGATTGTAACTGAGGACATCTCTGCCGGGTCTCTCCCCGCAAGTAAAAAGAATTTATCTGTTATCTCTTGTCCTTCTTCCCCAGGTTATATGATAAGTACTTGGGTGTTTAAACCAAACATTTTAAAATAGCAATAGGTAGTTGAAGCTGTTTATTAATAAAAGGGCTTCATCATAAAACAAATTTAAATAACCTTTTATTGCTCAGCAGTTTGTGTTTTGGGTTATGAATGATCTAACATTAAAGCGGATGAGTGAACAAGAATAAATAGACGTGTTAAAAGCAACTCATTTACTTTCAGGTACTGTAACACTCCCCATACAAACTATTGCTACTTTTGTATAAGATGTCAGTTTGCAGTTTAAACAGGATTTCCTGATAACGCAGAGGAATTACTGCCAGATCTGAAAGTTTGTTGAAGATTAGAGGACAAAATATTTCAGGCAGGGAGATGCTTCCATGCTTCCCTCTTACTGGCCCCTTGACACAAGACTGGCAGCAGCACGATGCAACTCCCCCCCAGCAACAGCGTCACAGATATGGGCCACTGCCACAGGATTCCCAGCCAATCAGGGACACAAACCCTGCCAGATCACTGAACTAGCCAATAGTAAACCTTGATGATCCTGGTGTCATCCACTAGATATAGATTCCAATGAACCCACAAGCTACACAAAGTCAAGGAGAGGCCTCAGGTAGAGAATAACTGGGAATGTGTACACTGACCAACTGAGAATTTGTTCATAGAAACATAAATTTCTTTTTAGTTTTTCAGTAAGTTAAAATTCATTCTTTTTCTTTCTTAGCAAAAAAATAGCTTGAGGTCTGTGATTTTTTTCATCTAACTGCATGGCCTCTTTGTTACATGTTGAAATGGGAAATTTTAAATTCAAAGCTTTGTCTCCCTCTTGTGGACATTGTTTGAAGACAGAAAAAAATCACAAGCAAATATGAAACGATCATAGATCCTTGCATATTGTTCACTTTATTAATCATAAAGGCATTTAAACAAATCCCACACCAAAAAAAAACAAACAAACAAAAATTTTTTTTTCCTGCAACGCTTAAAAAAAGATTTCCTATAAACTAGAGAAAAATAGTACAAATAAACACACATGCATTTTGCCAAAAACAAAAAAACTACGGTATCAAAATACACAAACTCAGAAATCCTAAAATGGTGCCATCCAGTGAGATGAAAGTTGCTCTTTGCTTGTCGTTATTTGGTCTGAAAAAAGAAGAAAATAAATGCTGTAAACATGTTATACTCATCTTAAAAGGGAGTTTAATCAATGTAAAACTATACATAACAGCAGGGCTGCAACAGTTGCTACTAAACCTCACCTTGATAATTAGGACAACAACAGAAAATATGATGGCGAAGAGAAAAAAGCAGAGGAAAGTTAATGCCATAGACCAGGTTTCCTTTAACGCATCCTCACCCACATCCACGTCCTTGATAGCATCAAAAAAATTACAGTGTTCCAGTGAGTCTGTGAAACAGAGTTTTATTAATTATCTCCTTTTACTGACTAGAAAAACAATGACTGTTTAATACTCATAAATATGTTGCTAACATACCTGGGTTGGACATATTCAATAACAGTGTGGTGCCTTCATGCGTGACACGGCAGGTAATAACCACACCAGGTAGGGAGTCAATTGGAGCCAGACGAAGGTGACTTTGAATGATGAATTTTCCATCCTGACCTTCAGAAGGTTCTGTTAAAGTATAGTCGAACAGTTCTGTGGTTTTACTCCGGAACCATGTGATATTAATGGCTGGAGGACTGAAGCCTGAGACCAGGCACACTAGTTCATCCTCTCCCTGGAGCAATACAGCTGAAGGTTTGGTGTAGGTCACAGAGGCTGGGAGAAAAGTTGCAGTCTGTTTAGAATAAACTGGAGATCAAAAGTATGATTTCTGAAAAGTGATTAGTGATTAGCTTACCAAAGACGTCACTTATGCTGGTTTCAACTGGGGCCTCAGACGATTCATGTCTGACAACACATGAGTATGTTGAGTTATTGTCCTCAGCCTTAGTTACATTTAGTCTGCTTCTCATTGAAAAATAGCTGGTTCCCGGTTCTTTCCATGATGGACTGTTAATATAGCGAGAAACTGGAAGTGTTTGGCCATTCTCTTTCCACTGAACAATTATGTCAGATGGAAAAAACCCTGAAACTAAGCATGTAATCATAATGCTCTTCGACATATATAGCTCAGTAAAAGTTGGTTTCAATATCCTCAGAACTGGCTGATACAGATCTGGAAAAATACACACAAATCAGACGGTTAATACTGTTTAAGTTATGCCTCAGGCAACCATTTTAAATAGTTCTTATTGTGCATATTATACCTATACTTTTGCTGATATGATCTTCATAACTTTTGTTGGAGCAAAGATGTTTTCCCACGCAGGATACTCTCTTATTTGAGTACCAGTCCTCAGCTGAAACGTTGAGGAAGCTGTGCAAAGTTTCAGACCCATTGTTGTGATTTTTTGGTCTTTCTGTATAGATGTGACTTGGTGAAGATTGGTGACCATGCACTACCCAGGTTACAGAGAAGTCGCTTAGACTAGTTCCAACAAAAAGACAAGCAACCGTCACCTGTCCCCGGTTTTTATGCTCCTCAAGTGCAGGTCTTTGAATGAAGACTGAAGCCATATGAGAGGATTTTGCCATAACTGAGGGAAAAATAAATTACAGTATAAAGCACAAAATTAAGAAAGACCCTTACAATTAAATTTTAGCTTGGATATGTGACCTAACAATCCACATAGCCAACATAAGCCAACACATATGCACATAGATCTTCCAGCTCATCATTAAACTACACAGGACACAGGATAAACATTATCCTTAGCTTCTTAGATGAAATTTAGTCATTACTGGAGGAAAAACATTTGTAAGTGGTGCTGTTTATTATATTTCTTATGCTTACCTGAGCAGACACTGATTTCCTTTTTGACAACCATTTTTAGAGATGGATCAGAGACTTCACATGTGAAGACCATTCCTGATTTCCACTCTGACAAAGGAACTTGCAGTCGACTTGTTACTGAAGCGCGTTCCATTCTATCAATGCTGATGTCATTATTCGCTGTAACTATCTGGTCTGAGCCATTCAGCCATTTAATTTGTGGGTTGAAGCCCGATCCAGAACACAGGAGTGTTTGTTTATCCAATGTTTTACTGGAGTCCAGATAGAGTTCAGCAGAGGGTGGCACTAAAAAGTTGTTCACAGAAATCCACAAACTGTTAATGTCTCTTGAAAAATGTACACATTTAAATTATAAAAAATTTTGTTGTAATATATAATGTTCAAGTAGATTTAAAAACATTCTCACCAAATATATTTCTCATGGTGTTAGACATGAAAGAACTGTTGGAGAATCCTTGGTTCACTGTGCAGGTCATATCAGGGTTGTTTTTTAAATTCTCCATGGGAACAGTGAATTTTCTACTGACTGAATAATTGACAGGGCCTTCAGGAAGATTGACATAATATTGCTCTGGAATATTCTTTCCATTGGTCTGGAATGTGACAAAGAGGTCATGTGATGAGAGCTGTGAGATGTAACACTGGAAGACATTGCTAGTTCCATTTAGCAGGTCTGGGAAAGATCTTCTTATCTCCACCTGTGGAGATCTAACTGGAGAACCTGGGTCATGAAAGAAAGACAGAACAAGAATTCATGCTTCTGTTTCTCAGCCATACAATCAATGCAATATGTTACTTGTAAAGTTGCATTACCTGTTACAGTTACTGTCTTTTCAGAAGAAGAAAAACATGTATGTTGTGCTTTGCATGTGATTGACTTCAGCTTCCTCCATTTATCACTGGGAACTTCCACATTGCTGGTAATAAGAGAGCTGCTTTTAACCTGTTTAACCTTCTCTGTCAGCCTCGAAGGAGCATTTCCATCCAAAAGCCAGGTGACCTCGGCATTCAGAGAAGTGTGAACCAGACAAGTAGCTTTCACAGAAGATTGTGTCATTACAACAGCAAAAACTGGATTCACAATTTCAATGACAGGAGGTGTGCTTGAAGAAACTAAAAGGAAAGAAAAAAAAGAAACACGATTATGTAAAATCTCAATAGAATGAGCAAAAAGTGATCGGTTACTTTATATACCCTTTTTAGGCCTCTCAGCTCAGATGCAGCTCTCTAAAGATATACAAGAAATGGATAGCACTCAGACTCATCTACAACAGCATTAAGTAAGTTATAAAAGCTACCTTAATCGTGAAAAGCATGGACTTATACCTGGATGGGATATCTGTGATTTGATATTGGATATCAAAGATCAAATCCAGCACACTTTACATGGAACTTTTGTTTCTGTCTTTTGCTCCAAATTTCTTAACAAATAATATAAGGCAAATTTATATCTGTGTTAATTTGAAAGATTTTCTACAAATATTTATATCAACGCTAAATCCTTCACTCACATGGCAAGATACTATATGGTTCCTATTGAGTAGGATCGATATCGGTCGATACGCTCAGCTCAGGTATTGGTATCGGATTGGATCAGAAAAAAAATTATTTGTGCATCTTTATCTAAAATCTGCGGTTCTTGTTGCTCAGCTCAGAGGTGCCACATCACATCACATCACATATAAAACCACATAGATCCTACTAACCAACTGATAGCTGCAGTTGGTTCCAAGAAAAATGTTTCAAATTTAAATGTCACATAATTTTGAACTTTTATTTTCATATCAGACACAGTCGTAATTGGCAAGAAATGTCTTAGACATGATCCGCTACTACGACCACCATTACTTTAGACAGATCTGCATATTATTGGACAACCGTCTTTCCATCTCATTCTTGAAATACAATTAAATTTTCTTTTGAGAAAGCTATGAATGTACCCGTGTATCCCAGTGTGTCTACTGTGGCAAATATAGATGCAGAAGAAAAACGATGACCACAAGGCAGCAACATAGTTAAAAGTAGACTTCCATAGATAAGCATAGGGATATATTTTTGTTGCCAGTCTTAATGTACAACTTGATATAACCAAAAGGCATGTTATTTTGAAGAACAATAGTCAGAAGTGAAAAGCCTGTTTGGTGAAAGGCTAAATCTATTCTAGAGTAGAGAAAAGAAGTCTAGTTGCTTATTAACTAAATACTAAATATTCCTGCCTTGAACTGTCTTAAACTACGCAGCAGATACTGAAGAAGAAAACAAATGAACAGGCAAACAAAAGGTAAACCTATATATCTTCATGGCTCAAGTATCCTCAGCTTCTGATATGGCATTTAGTCATTACTGGAGTAAAAACATTTGTAAGTGGTGCTGTTTATTGGATTTCTTATGCTTACCTGAGCAGACACTGATTTCCTTTTTGACAACCTTTTTCAGAGATGGATCAGAGACTTCACATGTGAAGACCATTCCTGATTTCCACTCTGACAAAGGAACTTGCAGTCGACTTGTTACTGCAGCGCGTTCCATTCTATCAATGCTGATGTCATTATTCGCTGTAACTATCTGGTCTGAGCCAATTAGCCATTTAATTTGTGGGTTAAATCCCCATCCAGAACACAGGAGTGTTTGTTCATCCGATGTTTTACTGGAGTCCAGATAGAGTTCAACAGAGGGTGGCACTAAAAAGTTGTTCACAGAAATCCACAAACTGTTAATGTCTCTTGAAAAATGTACACATTTAAATTATAAAAAATTTTGTTGTAATATATACTATGTTCAAGTAGATTTAAAAACATTCTCACCAAATATATTTCTTATGGTATTAGACTTGAAGGAGCTGTTGGAGAATCCTTGGTTCACTGTGCAGGTCATATCAGGGTTGTTTTTTAAATTCTCCATGGGAACAGTGAATTTTCTACTGACTGAATAATTGACAGGGCCTTCAGGAAGATTGACATAATATTGCTCTGGAATATTCTTTCCATTGGTCTGGAATGTGACAAAGAGGTCGTGTGATGAGAGCTGTGAGATGTAACACTGGAAGACATTGCTAGTTCCATTTAGCAGGTCTGGGAAAGATCTTCTTATCTCCACCTGTGGAGATGTAACTGGAGAACCTGGGTCATGAAAGAAAGGCAGAACAAGAATTCATGCTTCTGTTTCTCAGCCATACAATCAATGCAATATGTTACTTGTAAAGTTGCATTACCTGTTACAGTTACTGTCTTTTCAGAAGAAGAAAAACATGTATGTTGTGCTTTGCATGTGATTGACTTCAGCTTCCTCCATTTATCACTGGGAACTTCCACATTGCTGGTAATAAGAGAGCTGCTTTTAACCTGTTTAACCTTCTCTGTCAGCCTCGAAGGAGCATTTCCATCCAAAAGCCAGGTGATCTTGGCATTCAGAGAAGTGTGAACCAGACAAGTAGCACTCACAGAAGATTGTGTCATTACAACAGCAAAAACTGGATTCACAATTTCAATGACAGGAGGTGTGCTTGAAGCTAAAATGAAAGAAAAAAGAAATGAAAAGAATCATGATTAAAATCCCAATAAATGATCACAAAGTTATCAGTTACTTTTTATTTCCTGGTTGTGCATCTTTGCTTAGATTAAGCTCTCTATAGGCAAACAAGAAGGGAATATACAGAGAAACACAGAGAAATAAATAAAGTGCCTTCTGTTTGGAAAAGTTGTTGGAGTTTTTACTTTGGAGCAAAAATTATTCTGCATTGCTTCTAGACATGAATGAGTATATAAAGTAGTTTATCAAGTGTATTTTTTGTCACTGTGTACTACACTGGCAACCTGCCAAGGGTCTTCTCATTACTAGGACTGCTAGACAATTACAATTTGCCAAAATTACAAGCTGAAGGAGAAGTAGCTTTCACGAAACACCTCTACTCTGAGAAACCACTCTCAGCTCTCTAGGGTGGATCCAAATTATAGCAAGCTACTTTTCTGGATCTTATTGAGAAAGTTGCAATCTTAAATCTGGGATCTACAAGACACCTCTTTGCTTGTGAGTAGGCATTTTTAAAGCTGATCTAAAACAAACAAAAAAACATTTTTTCAGCAGATACTTTCAGATGGAAGAACAAATGTCCCTGCAGATGCAGAAGATAAATCCAGGAATCAGAGAAAGAAACATTTAGGTAGAACTTTTCACTTACTCTGACAAATGTCTGTTGTTTTTGCAATTTTAGTGCCTTGTTTAATCGACTCGCAGGTAAAGCTTGACCCTGTCTTCCAGTCCTCCATATCTACTTTAATCTCAGTGGTTCGACTGTAGGTTATCGCCTCCCCATCTAAACTCTGGAATGTTGTTTCGTTTGGGGAGATGTTTTGTATCTCTTGGCCATTCTTGTACCACTTCACAGTCAATTTATTGGGAAAATACCCTCTCAAATCGCAGACGAGTCTGACTTTTGAGAGCTCCATTTCAGAGTACAAAGTGATATTTGGCTGGATAATCCTTACAGCTGTGGAATAGGAAAGATTACGAGTTATTAAATGTTGCACCATGAGTCTTATCAGTTATTTTTTAAAACATAAAATCTAATAAGAGTTAATCTATACATACCTCCAAAATGTGGTCTTAAATTACCAACCAACTTTGAATTTACGGTGCAGTTTGCTTTTATTTATGCTAGATGGCAGAGTTTTACATTTTACATTCTATCAAAATGCAAAAATGGGGTTAAGAATCTGTTGCCCAGATGTTCAGTTTGACAGAGCAGAGCAACCAGGGCATGCAATGAGCGGAAGGTTTGTGTAACACCCGAGTCCAAAATTGGGACCAAAAAACAGAAGTGAAACAGCAGAAAGCAACAGAGCAGCACAGACAACAGGTGTGAGGCGCAGTTATGCCAGAAAGAGAAACAGAGAGCACATTTAAATATCTCAGCTTGGTTTACATAAGATATCACACAGAGAATCTCTCATGACTTTGCCAAAGGTTTTAGTTTACAAGTCCAGTAATAACAAACTGAAAAGAGTAACCGACTGTGAAATGTGGCAATTTACATACAGCGCTCAACTTGGATCATTGATTCCAGGTGCTGGTGGTGGGATGATGATAACAATGTCAAACAGAAACCTCTAAATTATAAAAAGTTTTAAAATATTGTTAAGGAGAAATAATCAGAAAAAGCCCAACAATTGTGTTCTTTAAAAAAAAAAAAAAGTGAAGCTTTTATATAAGCACAATTGTGGCTACTTACATGATCTAAAAAGAATAAGAAAAGTAATAAAAAATATATTTTTGTTTTTTTATGAATTAAATGTCTTTTGTAGGTGCTTCTTTTTTTCATTTGACCTGAAAAAAAAACAGAAGACGAAAACATGCATTAATGACAGCATTCTACCTTTTTTAAAAACTATGTTTCTTGTTGTATTAAAAAAAATTAATACAACGATCAGCTAGATTTTTATAACATCTTATGAACTTTACAACTTCAGCAATAAAAAGTCCAAAGGAGGCAATAACCTTTTAGAAGAAATTTCTTATATCTTACAGGGGTTTAGAATTTTTAAGATAATAATTTATTTTCAAATTTCTACTTTCATACAATACTGGAATAATCAGAAAATGCTCTTTACACATGATTAAAACTTAACTTTTAATGAAAAAAATAAATGTAATTAATAAATTAAATTACTAAAAAAATACATAAAAAACATAAAGCAGCCACCAGAATGGCTTCTTACTTAATTATGAGCATTAATAAGCTTTACTTTTTATTATAATGACACATGAAATTATTTCCTTGACCAAAATATAACTAAAAGTTACCTAAGTTACAAACAATTGTGTTAGTGCCTCTCTGGTTTCTGATGTTGTATAAATATATAATTAAGGGACAAAAAACCCATCAGATAGATTTTAAAATATAGAATCTGGTTTAGTAATACCTAAAATGTATAAACACCTCATCAAAATTCAGTCACTACAACTGCACATATCGTGCATCAAAGCAATAAAAAAGATTGGATTTTTTTTATTCTGAAGACTTGTGAACAAAAAAATAAAACAAAACAGGATATTTCAGTGGAGAATCACATTTTCTGCATCATGAAGAATAATTGTCTGAAATGTTTTATCTGGGCTATTAATATCCTCTGCCCAGACATTAATATTTAAAAGCTACAGTTGCTAAATAAACTGTTGCTCTGAGAATGCCAAAAAATACTCTGATTTATCATAACAATATTGAAATTAAGAATATATTTTGCTTGTAAAGCACTTTATTTTCTGATACACTCAAAGAGCTTTATCAAACTTTTAGAATATATATAGAATATATATTTTTGTTGCTCTAAGATGGTTAAATAAGGGTATTCCTTGGTCAGTTTATGTCTCTCCTGTATTAACAAATTAATACAACAATGCTCAGCTAGATTTTATAACATCTTATGAACAGTCAACATCTGCAATAAAAAGTCCAAAGGAAGCAATAACCTTTTAGAAGAAATGTCTGATATCTTACAGGGATTTAGAAGCATTTTAAGGTAATATTTTATGGTAAAATTTAAACTTTGATACAATACTGGAATAATCAGCAAATGCTCTCTACACATGATTCAAACTTAACTTTTAATAAAAAAAAATAAATGTAATTAATAATAAATTAAATTTCTTAAATAAATACATAAAAGACATAAAGCAGCCACCAGAATGGCTTCTTACTTAATTATGAGCATTAATAAGCTTTACTTTTTATTATGACATATTAAATTATTTCCTTGACCAAAATATAACTAAAATTTACCTAAATTATAAACAATTGTGTTAGTGCCTCTCTGGTCTCCGATGTTGTATAAATATATAATTAAGGGACAAAAAAACCATCAGATAGATTATAAAATATAGAATCTAAAAGGTCTGGTTTAGTAATACCTAAAATGTATAAACACCTCATCAAAATTCAGTCACTACTACTGCACATATCGTGCTTCAAAGCAATAAAAAAGATTGGATTTTTTTTATTCTGAAGACTTGTGAACAAAAAAATAAAACTAAACAGGATATTTCAGTGGAGAATCACATTTTCTGCATCATGAAGAATAATTGTCTGAAATGTTTTATCTGGGCTATTTATATCCTCTGCTCAGACATTAATATTTAAAAGCTATAGTTGCTAAATAAACTGTTGCTCTGAGAATGCCAAAAAATACTCTGATTTATCATAACAATATTGAAATTAAGAATATATTTTGCTTGTAAAGCACTTTATTTTTTGATACACTCAAAGAGCTTTATCAAACTTTTAGAATATATATAGAATATATATTTTTGTTGCTCTAAGATGGTTAAATAAGGGTATTCCTTGGTCAGTTTATGTCTCTCCTGTATTAACAAATTAATACAACAATACTTAGCTAGATTTTATAACATCTTATGAACAGTCAACATCAGAAATAAAAAGTCCAAAGCAATAACCTTTTAGAATAAATGTCTGATATCTTACAGGGATTTAAAAGCATTTTAAGGTAATAATTTATGGTGAAATTTTAACTTTTATACAATACTGGAATAATCAACATTAATCTGCACATGATTAAAACTTAATTTTAATAAATAAATACATTCAATTAATATATATTAAATTTCTAAAATAAATACATAAAAACACATAAAGCAGTCACTGGAATGGCTTCTTACTTAAATATGAGCATTAATGATTTCTAAATTATTCTGATGTAATTCAGTCAGATTTAAATATAATATGTAAATAGAAAATCTAAATCTAAATCTTTTATCTTCTTTTATCTGTCATTATGTATGTCCTGTATTATAACCCCAGTAATACACACACATATATATATATCTATATATATATATATATATATATATATATATATATATATATATATATATATATATATATATATATATATATATATATATATATATATAATCCATATCCTAACTTTCCTGTATAATCTGTATATAGTTTTCATATTTATATATTGTATAGCCTTACAATTGCTTTCTGTTTACGGTATATATACTATTTTTAGTCAATACATACATACATTTCTGTGCAAATGTAAACAGATATTTATATCCAGTATGGCTCCTCTGGATAGCTGCAAACTACATTTTGTTGCTTTTTACTTATGACAGTGTACAATAAAGTTGAATTCTCTTCTGTTCTGTTCTATTTTATTCTTTTCTAAAAGGAAACCAGAAATAAGTAGAAATCCGTGGCAAAGCCTGTATATTATATTCTGCTCTGTTTTTTTTTTATATTTGAACATATATAAATCAAACACTAATGTTAGCATACTACTGCCGGATGTGTGTAATCTAATATAAAAACATTTGTAGTGATCATAATTCGCTGCAGCCTGAAAACATGGCGGCTAGAAACCAAATTTATCCAAGGATGTTACTAGTCTCTCCACCAAAGGCTTTGTTGAAACCCACTGTACTTTTTTGTCACTTTCATTTGATTTCAAGTTTTTATCTCATCAATTGACATTTGTGCCAACACAGACTTAACATGTTACCTTAATTGCAGTGGTTCCAATGGAGAACACCAGGGCGAGGAGGAAGAGAAGGATAAAGGTGATAGCTGTGTTAGTCATGTCATCTTCCTCTACTTCAATGATTCCGCTGTAGGTGTTTACTTCAGTCACGACGTCTGGTTTTGGTGCACAGTTAGAAATGACAAGTAAGTGCATTGTGCTGCTATGTTGTGAGGTCCATACTTGTTGTTTTAGAGTTTTTCAGTAACATATAAAGTTGCAAATATCATAAAATTATATGAAATATATAAACTGTTGCTGTTCCTTCAAAGCTTTAGTAAAATAGTGTAAAGTATTTAACTAGTATTACAGAAATTAAATGGGTATCATTATGATACTGACTTGCTTGTGAAAAACCCTATCATCAGAGTTTATGAGTCATCTAACTTTGTTGGGGTGCAAGACCCAGTAGATGAAACACAGGCACAAGAGGACATATGACAGAAACGCAGACAGTTGCTGAGGTAATAGCAGTCTAGTATGTAGTTAAAAGCCTTCGTAAATATTAGAGCACAACTAATTAAAATGTGAATATGAATAACTCCTTATTTAGGTTGCATAAAGACAAGACTTAACCTAAAACCCAATATAAACATTCAGTTTCAAATACAAGTCAAGTACACACAAAGTACGAGCGACAAACATCAACACAGTTGGCGGACATTTTTTTTTATTTTGATTTTTTAATTTGCACTAAAAACACACAAACTGAATTCAAAAATCACAAGCAACAACAACAACAACAAAAAAAAAAACGAAGCAGAAGACGCACAGACACTAGTCAACATCTACTAGGCCTTGCACTTTTCAGGGACGTTCATGCTGAGGTTGACCACGTTGGTGTTTTTAAAGGTTCTGTATCCAATAGATCTGACAATAGATCTGGCTGGCTTAGCAAGTGACTCATGTTGAACAGCACAGCTATACACCACATCAGTCTGCTCCCATTCCTCTGTTGTGAGGACCAACTGGCTGTAAACAGAGAAGGATCCGTCGACTTCCACAGGTTCTGTGGTATTGAATGAATATATTGTGTTTGCCTCATCATCAACAAGCCAAGCCACATAAACCTCCTGAGGATAGAAGCCTTTCACATAGCAAGTCAGGATCACTGTTTTTTCTCTAGGTTGTTCTACTGGGGGCAACATAAACACTGATGGACGCTTCATTTCCTTTCCTGCAAGCATGAGAAAAGAATTAGGATCTGGATGACAAATTAAATTAGCACATAAAATAAGTGAAACACTTATGTTCCTGAAAAGATTGCTCACATAAAGTATTTACTGTGAGAAGCAGATATACTTTAAATATAGGTAAAGATTATGAGAAGTTTGCTTACCATTATTATTTCTGTTATACTCTTTCCTTAATGGTTCAAGCCAATCCTTGTTCTGGATTTCACAGGTATAAGTTTCCCCCTTGCGCCATTCATCATAGGTGATTTCAGTCTCAGCTTCATATGTTCTTGATCCTAAAGTCCGGTTTGTGCCTACAAGTTTTGTGTTGTCGTTCGTTTTCTCCCAGAAAATGTTCTCAAATCTGCCCCTTTTAAATTTGGCTTGACATATTAATTTTCCTTGTCCTTTCTCAAACATGTCTTGTAATGTTGGGGGTATGATGGTTACATCCACATCTGCTTCAAGACAACCCTCAGTCGCTAAGAGATAAAAAAAAAGAAAAAAAAAAGATGATAATTATTGAACAAATGCATAAAACAGGAAAAATAAATAAGTCCAATAAAAAAACAGCATTGTACTTACCACCTGTACATTCCTTGTGGGACACAGTTGCATTTCTGTAGACTGGAGTGTTATTTTCACCTTTTCCCTTAAAAATACATGTTATCTTTGTGTCTTCAAGCACTTCACTGGTTTTCAGTGTGAGCAGACTTCCAACACTGTACAGAATAGTTCCGTTTGTGTCATTTCTTCCCTGAGCCGATGTGTTGACCTCATCTATCCTCTCGCTGATGTCTTTATCATCTTTCTTCCATGTGATCTCATACTTATTTGGTGTAAAATCTTTGGCAAAGCAGGAGAAGTAAGCCTCCTCTTTGTCCTCATCAACGGAGGAACACACTTTAAGAGTCGGAGCCTGAAAAACCTCCTCTGAAAGACAAACAAATACACATATATGTATGCAGAAGCAAGGAAAAAAAATCTATATATATGCAGAAGCCCCGAGAAAGTGCTGCTTGGTTCATATAATCAGTTCTTTTAACAAAGTCCTACGACAACATGCATCATATTTACGCAGCTATAAGTATGTCATCTACCAGGGGCATAAGTGTTTTTAAAATTGGCCTTAATGCACTCCAAAGAGACACTCACTTCTGCATATACATTGACTGGCAAGCACAGACTAATATTGATATCAGTGAGGGTGTTAATCGACAGAAAAAAAGACACAGACAGAAGTCTTCAAACATGTAGGACTGTTTAGGAACAAAAAAGCAGAAGGTGCATATATAGACTATTATAGAACAAGAAAAGGTGTTAGTGATGAGAAAAAACAGTCAGATACTGAAAATACTGTTGGCTTTACCTTATTGTTCCATCTAGGTTAATATTACTATATATCAATAAAGACATTCATAAGCAGTTCCCCCATTTAAGCATTTCTAAGATCAAATTTTCATCTATCTAAACTTAAAAGAAATTGTTTGTCACTTAGTTTCCTCAACATAACATTTAGATAAATCTTCTCCAGATATGTGTAATGATAGGGTATTAATGTATAGCTAAATTAATCCAGATATTTAATACTTTAATGACTACAAACAGAATAAAATCAAAACTTAAGATTGAAAACTGATTATAGCTGTTGAATATCCATAACCAGTGAGATTACTAAAGTTTTACAGTTTGTTAGAAAATGAAACATTTTCTAGTAAAAGAAAAAAATTCAATCTATTTGAAATATAGCTTAAAATAATACCAAAGGTATTTAAAACAATATTATAAATGATTTTGGTTTATAAAATTCTTACTTGGTTTGACCATTGAAGCATGTTGTTGTCCTGCAGCGTGATTTGCGACACATTTGAAGGAATTATTTGCTTCCCAGTCCTGTCTTCTTACTTGGACCTGACTAATTCCGACGTATTCACTGCCCTTCTGTATTGAAGGATACTGGATGAAGTTGTCCAAATTAGTATTGCCTTGTTGCCAGGAAAAAGTAATGGAAGGGGGGTTGAAACCAGTGGCAAGGCAGCCGAGGGTGACCATGTCGCTCCCCCCGGAGCCACAAGGAATCAGCGGGAACACAGTTGGAGCATGCTGAGTGGCTGAAAAAGAAAAAGCAAAAGCTTATTATAAGCATCAATATTTAAAATAAACAAAACTTAGGACACAATGATCTTCAACTTGATAAATACAGGAGAAGCAAAAAGTTTGATCATTTATAAGTTGTTTTACTGTGTTTTTTACTTTAAATACCTTCTTACTTTAAATTCCTAGATATATACGCTCAATTATATAAAGGTAATTCATTTTTAACAAAATATGTTAGTGCATACACAACCATCAAATTTGCTTAATACATAGAAAAACAATTTAAACTTTAGACATCATCAATTTTAAAACCCTCCCAGTCTTACCTGATGAAACTGTTACCAAAATACCTTTTGCAAAAGCAATATTGAGTTATCAACGTAACTGTTTCAAATTTCATACAATACATTTTTCTCATTGATATAAAACACCAAAACATGCTAAGAAATTATGTTAAGTTGAACAAAAGGAAAAACAAAAACTTTTTTTCAGATTTTGAAAGGTCAATCTCATCCTTATTCACAAATGTAATAATGTGTAATTTCACAAAAATTTAACAAGCAAATATCTATATATTTTTTACCCGTTTTACAAAGACTGATTAATGTTCCAGAACTTTTGCAAAGAATTAAATAAGATTTAATTTATAAGGGTCCATAAACAAAAGACAAACCTTTAAGAAATATTCAACACACCAAAAGATCTGATCAACTCTTTTATGTTACAGGGCTAATTTACTATGATGTTGACAAAATCCTTTAATACTAAATCACTATTTGGGGTCAATATAATACATATTAATGGTTTTATTTTAGAGTATTTAACCGGTACTGTAAATACCCTCCAAAATAAATGACAACTCACTTTAAGTCACCACTCAATAATTTCTATAATATAAATATATTATTAGAAAATTTAACCAAATGAAGAAATTACACCTCTTACGAACGATTTTTACATAAGAAACTTTTTTTATAAAGACATTTTCTATTGAGTTTTTTTCTAAACTAATTAAGAGCCTACAACATCTTTAAATTAAAAATGTCCATCAAGTGACAAAATACAAAGTTAGGTTCTAAAACATTCTTTTGATAATCATCAAAAAGCATTTTCATACCTGAAGTGACGGTGACCGTTGTCCCTTTTCCCCAATAGTCAAACGCTTCATAGTAACACTGTGACTAATCGGACTGACTTCTTAACATTAAAAGTCGAATTTACGGATTGTGAACTCAAGCTTGTAACACCATAGCGTTTTTACTTTTACATTAAATCAATTTAAAAAATTTAAATTAGAGTAAATGTTATCAGGTATACCAATATCAAATTTAAGGGCATCGGTATATTACAATAAATATCTTTCCAAAGTTCACTTTTAAACATCACAAACGAATTACATCATTTAAGCAAGAAAAAAAAGAAAATGAATTTGAATTCATTTAGATATTTAATCCTTTAGAATTCTGTCCAACTTAATTTACTATTTAGATACAATTTAATTTCATACCTGAGGTTACGGTGACTGTTGTTCCTTTGCCCCAGTAGTCAAAGGCAGCGTTGCACAGTAATGAATCTCTTTAACTCTTGTACATAAAAAGTTCCAAATAATAGTCTAGAATTTCCAATTGTTTAAAACCTAAATATTTGTATTATTTTTTGTAATCCTGTTTTTAGAATGCTATAAAGCAACGAGTGAATTAACATTACTGATTTCAGAAAAGTTCATTTTGATAATATTGTTGAATATTACAAAAATAACAGTTATTTACGATCTTTGAATAAAACCCAACTGAGCCATTCGAAAATTTTTCTTGAAATCATTTTTAAATCATTTTCCCATTCCAATATTTAAGAAGCGCTTGTTTCTACCTATTGAATTAAGTCACAAGTCTTTATATTAACCAGCCCTAATGTCACAGTTGAGGGACAAAATATGACAAAAACTATTTTAAATGAAAATCTACTTTGCCGATTAGAAACAGTTGAATTTCCTACCTGAAGTGACGGTGACAGTGGTTCCTTTTCCCCAATAGTCAAAAGCTTCATAGTAACACTGTGACTAATCAGACTGACTTCTTAACATTAAAAGTCGAATTTACCGATTGTGAACTCAAGCTTGTAACACCATAGCGTTTTTACTGTTACATTAAATCAATTTAAACAATTTAAAATAGAGTAAATGTTATCAGATATACCAATATCCAATTTAAGGACATCGGTATATTAAAACAAATATCTTTTCAAAGTTCCCTTTTAGACATCACAAACAAATTACATAATTTAAGCATGAAAAAAAAAGAAAATCTATCTGAATTAATTTAGAAATATAATCCTGTAGAATTCTTTCCAACCTAATTTACTATTTAGATACAATTTAATTTCATACCTGAGGTTACGGTGACTGTCGTTCCTTTTCCCCAATAGTCAAAAGCATCGTAGCACAGTAATGAATCTCTTTAACTCTTGTACATAAAAAGCTCCAAATAATAGTCTAGAATTTCCAATTGTTTAAAACCTAAATATTTTTATTATTTTTTGTAATCCTGTTTTTAGAATGCTAAAAGGCAATGAGTCAATTTAGATTACAGGTTTTAGCAAAGTTCATTTTGATGATATTGTTGAATATTACCAAAATAACTTTTCATTACGATTTTTAACAAAAACCCAATTGAGCCATTCGAAAATTTTTTCTGGAAATCACTCTGAAATCATTTTCCCATTCCAATATTTAAGAAGCGCTTGTTTCAGCCTATTGAACTAAGTCACAAGTCTTTATATTAACCAGCCCTAATGTCACAGTTGAGGGACAAAATATGACAAAAATCGGTTTTAAATGAAAATCTACTTTGCCGATTAGAAACAGTTTAATTTCCTACCTGAAGTGACGGTGACTGTGGTTCCTTTTCCCCAGTAGTCAAAAGCACCATAGCACAGTGATCAACCTACTTAAGGCTTAGTATGAAAAGCCTAACAGTCTAATGGTGACCAAAAAATTATTTGACATGTAATCACCTTCAACTTTTTTTTATAAACCAATTAAAAGGTTATTATCTCTAATTACCAACTAATTCAATATCGCATGTGAAGTATTACTTTTACAGTAAAATGAATTGAGTCCAGACAACTGAGTATTTAGATTTGTAGGTTAAAATGTAAAACTTAACAAAATACAGTAGCATATTTTTAGAGTGACTATTCTTACCTGATGTTACTGTTACAGTCGTTCCTTTCCCCCAGTAGTCAAAAGCCCAGTTGTCACAGTAATACAGTTCACTCAAAGTTGTAACAAAAACCTACCACATTAATACCTACTATGTTAAAGCTGTTTGGTATAAATCTACCCACTTAATGATAATTCACAGGAATTTAACAACCAGAAGATTTTAGTTTTTGTCCACTTTGTCCCTCAACAGTAAAAATACTTCATAGTCTTTCTATATCCAAATTCTCATCGTTGAATTCAACTGAAAATTAACTATTATTTTCAATTTGATTTAAATATCGAAATTAGAAATAAAATATTTTCCTACCTGAGGTGACAGTGACAGTAGTTCCTTGTCCCCAGTAGTCAAAAGCATAGTAGTCACAGTAAAAGAAGACTTAATCTATCCCATACTAAAACTTGTCCAAGGATTTACCTCCACAGACAGGCTTTTTCAATCTTTCTAAAATTCTAATAAAACCTCAGAAACTTTTAAGCGCATGATTTAAAGGTCTGGCAGAAACAATTAAAACCTGGCAGGAACAATTGAAACTATCAACTTTCTTACCTCTATTTCAACAAATATTTGCTGAAAATCGTCTGAAAGTTAAAATTGAAAATTAGATTGACCACATAGGATTGACTTACCTGATGTTACTGTAACTGTAGTTCCTTTTCCCCAATAGTCAAAAGCATTGTCACAGTATAATAACTTGATACATTCAACATACAAAAACCACCAAAATGTCGAAATGTACAGTTAAATGTGTCTAAAACATGGTTAACTAAATACCTTAATGATTACAACTTTGGTGGTTTCGCTATTATGATTTGTCTCATTTTTCAGGATTTTAAATGATGTCTGATTTAAGTTCAGTTAAAGTAGAAAAAAAGACATCTATGTTTTCAGGCTAAATAAAAGAAATTCAGAGCATAATTATTTCAATATAGGTATGTCGATGATTAATTTTGTATTTTACCTGATGTGACAGTGACCGTGGTTCCTTGTCCCCAGTAGTCAAAGTAGTTGCCACGGTGACAAATCACAATACCACTTTAGTGCAAAAATATCCTGTTATCTAAAACTTATATGAAAAGATGTTTTTTCACCTGTATCTACCTGTTTTCCACAGTTTTTGTATTTGATAGAGATAATTCACTATTCATAAGGAATAAAGTAATTAACCATGCAGGAAAATAAATATTAAATTATGTCACTTTAAAACATATAAAGTTAAAACTTACCAGAAGTCACTGTGACTTGTGTTCCTTGCCCCCAGTAGTCAAAGTAGCCATAGCTATCACAGTGGTAAACTTTAGTCTGTTTCTAATACAAATAATCAGTTTGTATGAAAAAAGAACAGAATAAGAATTTCATTTTGTACTATTTCCATCTCCCTAGAGATATTTATTTCCTGTGGTCTGGGTCATATAAAAGGATGCCAGTTTTTTTTCAACTGCTGCTGCATTTACTACCTCTGTGCCTGAGCTTATTGCCAGCCAAAACTTGGTCAGACGTTTCTCACAGCAAAAAAAATTATTCAAGCGATTTAATTTAATATTAAAAAATCATATTTTGTTTCAAAGTGAATTATTCATTTGAAGAGCAGAGAAATAAAGTCATAGAAAAAATATTAGACTTGTCATATTCCCCTTAATTTCTTTTTTTTAAAGATACACTAACTGAGAAATACCTTAAATAAATGAAGGGCGCTTTTCTGCAAATAGAGTGCTGTTGAGAGAAAAAAATAATTTACTCTACAAATATCTTAATCTTAATCCATCTCTTTTTGGCTGAAATACAGTCTCACATTGTATCCTTCATCCTACCAAACTTTACACTTTGCACAATGCACTTCTACTGAGAATCCCCAATCCCAGACCCATCGATCATATTGCCGGACGGAGTCATGTGATTTGTCACTCGGGAGAATGGTTCTCCACTTTTATAGATTGTTGTGGTGGCAGGCTTTATATGATGACACTTTGGATAGCACTTGCGGATCTTGGCCTTTGAATCAACTGATTGGCCATAAAAAAACTATTCCATTAAACCATCTATAAGCTGCTTGATCTTATTTGATATGACATAATATTTGTTCCACCTACCTGAGTGTATCATATGTACAGCATTTAAACTTACTATCCGTTGCTCATAATCTATCTGCCATGCTCTCAACTCTGATATCTCTGCTCTGCCACCTGTGCTCTTGCTCAGTCCTTTTCTTTACATGCTCAACAATGTTTGTGTGCAAGTTTGACTTCATCTTGACTTATCTGGTGTGACAGTGGCATAGGGTGTAGGAGTTTGCCCCAAAATTGAAGAGTTGACAGTTCAAGCTCTGGCTTTCAGTGTTGTTGTGTCCTTGGGCAAGACAAACTTGTCTACTGAAACAAAATTGTCTACTGATGGTGGTTAGAGTGGCGCCAGTGTATGGCAGCCTCGCTTTTGTCAGTGAGCCCCATGGCAGCTGTGGCTACAATGTAGCTTGCCACCATCAGTGTGTGCGTAAATAGGTGAATGACTAAATGTAGTGTTAAGCGCTTTGGTCAAGTCTCCTAACATGAAAAAGCGCTATATAAGTACAGGCCATTTATCTCTGCAAGTTATCATTGTTTAATTGTATGTAAATGAATCACGTCATTTTTCAAAAATCCCGCTGCTTGGTTTTCTAATCTCTGCCACTGTAGGAGAAGTATTTTGATTTAAAGGCAGAATTTCCTGGAATTGAGCTGAGTGCATAGAGACAAAGTCAAGCATGCAGAGAATAGTTGTTCAGTGAGTAAAGAAAAAGAGTGAAGCATGAAGACAGCTGATGAAGGAGAGTTTGTCAGAGTTGAGTTGATTGTGACAGAAAGGTTTCGAATGAGGTGGTGTGATTTTAAATGCTGCACTGCAGAATCAATATCAGTATCAAGTCAGTAGCACAGAAAATGCAGCATAGTCTGGAGTACTTAGGAGCAATTTGACTTGTTTTATATCCTATTTCCAGTACAACGCTAAAAGTCACTTTCCTCAGAGCATACCATTCTGTCACAAATATTTGTAGAAACAGTCTGTATGCCGGGATCCCAACCCCTGGGATCTGATTTCAACCCTTTAAAATTCTTATATGCTTACTTTTTTCAATTAAGCCATGAAGAGAACTACAGATTTTTATGTTTGTCTGACACAAGAGAAAAGGTTTTGCACAGTTTTCTCTTTGTCCAACAGTGTTCTTTGGAAGGGCAGGGTGGGTGACTGCCCATACATACACTGTACAACTGGGGATTAATCAAGTTGAGATAAATTATGGGAATGGGGCTGTTGTCAGGATCTTTGCGCTGATACCTGGTCTGATTACTTATTTCATTCACCTGCTTATGTCCTCCCAGTTCTCATCACCGTTCATCTGATCCACCTGCTTCAGTCTCTATTTAACCAGCCTTCAGATCAGTCATCAGTGCCAGATTATTTCGAGCCCCTGGTGAGAAGTTTTCACGCATTCCTGTGTTTCTGATTGCCTTTTCTGACCTGTCTGCCTCTCGTCCTCTGAGCCTGCCTGTCCCCGATCTGATCTATTTCTGACCTGTCTTTGGACTCCTGCTGGATCTCTGCCTGTCTATGTACCGAACCAGGAACTACCAATCACTTCACAGGCACTGGCTTTTACTTGGCCCTTTGGATTATCATGCCGACCTTCCTCAGTTTGGTTCTAATCTCCTGCCTGTCCTCCAACCATGATGCATCAGCATCTAGGACTCTGGGCAGCGCCCGCACTTGTGTTGGCAGCAGACCGGCTGAAGCAACCTCACCTTCTGGGCTCGGACTGAACTATAAGACGCAATTGCACACTGCTCCTGCATTCTCAGTGCAA